CAGACAGAATTATGATTTTTTAAGTAACCTATTTAATTTCTATAATCTTATGTTACTTAGAATGCGGAAGTAAAATGTAGGCCCATAGTATCTTTAAAAGTGGTCATCACCATTGAGTACTTTCAATGTGCTAAGCAGTCTTCTATTATGAAATAATGAGAATCATAGTTGAAGCGTTAGGCTTCACAAGTCAGCTCCCCTTAGTGATAGTGTGAAATACTTGTTTAATCTGAGAATTAAAAATTTTGTTCTTTCAGAGGAAACATGGAGAAAGCCATTGATATGTTCAACAAAGCTATTAACCTGGCCAAATCAGAAATGGAGATGGCTCATCTTTATTCACTTTGTGATGCGGCCCATGCACAGACAGAAGTTGCAAAGAAATACGGATTAAAACCACCAACATTATAAAACCAGGAAAAAGGAAACTGACTCTTTTTAAAAGCAGCTTATCTCTTCAACTGAACCCTGAAGACACTGTCATGAACCATGTTGACTGGTGGAGCTTAGTATCCCCTTGTGGTGTTGTCATTCAGTACATCTCTTTCATGTTTATGTGTTGTGGACTTGGCTGTTGAAGGAAGTTTGCAGTCTTGCAGCTTTTATTCCCTGTGCAAAAATAAAGCTTAGAACTTGTTAAAGGGATATTAAAATAAAGTTTTAGAGTACAAAAGATAATTGGCCATGCAAATAAAAACTTTGAATTGTTGATTTTTTTTGGATGGGATTAGGGGCTGATTATGTTCTGGATGATTTTGTCTTTGTGTGTAGAATATGTGAGTGTTTTATAGTATACTGGTTTTTAAATTAACATAGTAAGTGCTATAATATAGGTTTCTTTTATATCCAGTCTTTTTAATTTTCTGAAAGATATAAAGTTAAAATGTGGGTTGCAGTAAAATAGACCCTTTAAACAATTGCCAGCATGCATAGTACCTACGATTCTGCAGAATCTTAAAACTCCACAGCTGCTGATTTTCATACAGTAAATTATACAGAATCAGAATATCCTGATAGATATATATTCTAGAAGACTATTAATGGGAAAGTGAACCAGGAAGAGGTAAGATGAAAGAATTGTTTATAATTGCCCATACCCGTTTTCTGTGCCAAGTACTGCTATTTAATAGTGTACTTTTTAAAGACAATGTGGAGCCAGGCACTAGTGGATCATATTTGTAATCCTAGCTACTTAACAGGCTGAGAGCTGAGGATCATGGTTCAAAGCCAGCTGGGACAGGAAAGTCTGTGAGACTCTTAATCTCTAATTAAAAAAAAAAAGCCAGAGGTGGAAATTTGGCTCAAGTGGTAGAGTGCTACCCTTAGGCAAAAGCTCAAGGATAGCACCCTGGCCCTGAATTCAAGCTCCAGGACTGGCACCAAAAAAAAAAAAAAAA